AAGACAAGCAGGTGGTGATGATGATTCTGTTGCATGATGGGTTGGCCTATAGTGGGTCACATTACGACTCGGTTTAAAATCCATGACCAACTTATATTCCTTAAATGCAGTCTTGCTACACTTCAGCTGTAGTGTATATAGACCACTAACGTCTCTCTGTCCATCTAAAGCAGTTTCAAATCCAACCACAAATCTATTTTGGTTACCTACATGGCAACAGACAACAGCTGCTGTCTTTTTAATGGTATAGTATTAACTGCGTTGGATATGAGGAATGGTTGGGCTTGAGAAAGGTCACGATGCACGGAAAATGGGTGCATTTCGAACGATCCCTTTTCAACTGAAATTGTCAGACATTGTTAATATCTACAAGTCATATCATAACCGTATATCTAAGATACATCTGAGGCGAAGGTTAGGCACCAATTCTTGTTTATTTCTAAGTAATAGGGTATGATTCATCCCAATTCTTGTATCTCAACTAACCTTAGGTCATAACCAACAAATAAAAAACGTATATAAATACTCGAAGCACTTACAGGAATATTGGTATGTAAACATACATAGAGCACTTAAAAGTAGATAGGATACCTTCACAAACCAACAAACCAGGCAAACCTCTAGACAAACGGAATACATTTTTAACAGCATATTTACGGAATAGATTTAGCATTACGAAAATACCTAAATATATATTAGGAAAAGGACAACTCGAATTTTCAATTATGAACATGATGTTAGTATACACTCTATCTCTAATTCCTTTTGTCTGTTATGTATCTTTACAATTGGACGTCTTTTGTGTTCTGTGATCAGAAATCTTGCATCCGATTTGCTTTAGTTTGGTGGTTTGTAAACATATTTCACCACTAAGAAATATGTTAATTTGTAAGTATTTCATAAAGTTTATTCGGTACAATTTAAACTAAATCAAAACATGTGACTATACTAAGTACCTATTTCCTCTGTTATATTATGAGGTATTTTTGTGGTATAGTTTTTAATTGAGTAATATTTGCGGTTCAACATTTCAAATAGTTTTTTTTTGTACCAAAAAGTGAAATTTGGCACATTTTTGACTGTTGTATTTGAAAACGAGGGTCATGATTACGCATGGACAAATCTAAAAAAAATGTTTACACATTACGATCACTTTTAATTCGCATACAAGCGTGCTTTCCTAGAAATGGTTTTACATCATTCAAGTAGGGAATGGCATAATGCCCATTTTCGAAATTGGACCTAAGCTCTCGAATGTGAAAGAAATTACGTTCCATGATTGTTAGTGAACTTTCAAGCTGTATTATTTACAGTGTAATTTTAAGTGAATTTTCTTAAAATGATGCTAATAAATTAGGGTAATATCAACATTAGAAAGACAAATATTATGAAGACACTCTGAGGGTTTGATTTATTAGTGAATATAAGTGGTTTTGATGCATTCTGAAACGAGTTAACCATTCTGTTTTATGGAATAGCTATCAAATTTAGAGCTATTATGGCTAAATAGATGAGAAAGACCGACGATGAAAGAATGTTTTAGTTATTTTAAAGCCCACTCTTTGTACGTGGGGAGTCGCAATAAGTGGCTATATTAACTTTATATATAGTTAACCATAAAGTATTTTCCTGATATCCTTGGCATTAGATCTATAGTTAGAACTCCAGATATTATAAAGACAGGCGTATTCAATCTTTTGTGTTGATGTCGTCAAAACAAGTTAAGTCAATGTAATTGAACTATTATCCATTGTAAATTTGGGTCGATGTCTTTTTCAGTCTTTCTGAAATTCTATACAAAATTAAGCTCAATTACTCTATTTTTTTACCCATTTTTTACACTTAAATTATTTCCAATTATAAAATGATGAAGCAAAGTTATACTTGAATTTCTAATAATGAGCGATCGAGGAATTATCGGAGCAAAAAATCTTTTTTTTTTTTTGGAGATAGTGGGTCTTTCTTAGCGAAGCATAGCAGTAAAAGTAAAACCTCCATGCCCATATCCATGCAATTTGTAATAGTCAGCACTAACATTATCAGCACTGGTATAACAGATAGTTAAGTCTGACGACATTTAAATTTATGTCTGTTCTTTTTGTTTAAAAATGTTTAATATAAAATTGAAGCTTCCAAATTTTGAGGTATGTAGGCCTTGCTAATTTACTTCATAAATGCCCTTACAATCTGTCAACGCCCAGGCAATCTGGTGATAGTATCGGGAGAGAGGTGATTTTGGCGATACGGAATCATATATAGAGCAAATCATGTCATAGACCGAACAAAATCGTTGTTTTTACTAAACTAGAAAGTTTATCAGTGCTATCTTTTTATGGTTGATGAAAGGATTTTGATTTGAAACATATTTAGGATTGCTGTACTTGGTGATGTTTATACCACCACGAGTTATCTACCTTCAATCAGAATTCTTCAGATTATGCTGTCTGTTGTCGACGATCTGATAAATTTGATTAAGTATATCTTCGGAGTCAGAATATCAGATCACATTGACATTGCAAAAATTTAGATTCGATAAAAAATCTTTTATCTGTTAAAGATATTACATAGTTTATGATTACACAATAAGTCCCAGTGAACACTCTTTTCAAACATCCACATATAGATTTAGAATCCACGTTCATCTGCATTCCTGCAACATCGTTTCATCTGACACATACAATCGACAAGTGGCACATAGACAGAAATCCAACACATTGAAATCTATTGACAAATTAATTGATTATTCAAAAATCCGTATGAGCATAAGAATTTAGCATTATTTACAAGTGTGAACAAAAACTACCTGTTAAGACTTGAACATATATTACATACATTAACGAAGATAGTTCAATTCAACGTATAAAAATCAAACATAAAAATCTTGAAATGCATCGACAAATCTGCAAGAACACATTTTTGCCATATTCTAATATTTTCACGCACCCTATAAGTAGAATAATTAGTGAAACGTTGAATTAAACAACTGAATATCAATTCCCTTACTAAATGATAATAAGTTTTAAATATCATGTCTGGTAAAGACTATAATAAGGTGTTTTGAATTCACACACCAATGTTATTGTGCTGGTCTTTTTAAGCCGTGAGCAGTTCCTCAGAAAAATGGTGAAAATGAAATCACCAGTTTCATCAAAACTAAGTATTCGTTGTAATAGAGTGCAAAATAATGTTTATTATTATGCATTATAAAGTGTTTGAGAAGAAAGTGTATCTGAAAATAATGAAATTATATCTTGTCTATTTCAGACTGTCAAGAAGTATATAAATGGGGTGGTATGAAATTTAAAGGAGATTATTACATTATGATCAAACCAGATGGATTTGAAGAACCATTTAAAGCCAGATGTAAAATGTTTAATAATTCAGGTATGATCTATAATATTTTTAGATTTGTTATAATTCTTGTTTATTTAGTAACTCTTAACTCCTACCACTTGGTTTGTCTACTCCTTTTCTGTTTCCTTTCCTTCAACTTTATTAAAGGGAAACAGCCTACTTAAGTCTTTTTTGTAGTCTAGCCCAAAATTTGAGCTAAAACAAAGAATGGAACATACCAATTAGATGATCACTCTCCACTTAAGATCAGATTAAATATGGACTGTCGACGTGAAACTCGACAGGATTTTGCCAAAAGAGAAAAATAAACTTTTATCGGTTGTTTCCCTTTAATTAAAATTCTCAAATTTTTTGCCTCGCCATTTTTCTTTTATACTTTCAATTAATACACTATTATGTACTGTACATTATTTTAAATTTGAAGTCTAGTCATTTTACAGTGAGCTACTTTGATGAAAATAATCAAAGGTAAGTATGAATCTAGTAATATGATGTTTAAAGAACAATAACTGAAAAAGGTGCATTTCGAACTCTGAGCTTTTTATTTCTAAATTCATAACTGAATTTCAAGACAAGTGATTGCTTAACTCCTTGACTGTAAGAAGATCAGCCAATCCGAAACAATTTTTTCTTTGTCTCTCCGAGTAACTTTTAATTTATAAAAAGGTTTGGAATCCGTTAGTATTTGCTAGAATGAACAAATATATGTTCCCTAATCCAAATAGACAATTACTCTATGAATGTGTCTTGTTTTTGTTGTTTTTGTGTTGATTTATATAGACAGAATGATAATGTAATTTTAAAGGTAAGTTGTTATTTGTTGCTTTCTGAATTGTTTTTTCTTGCATGTAGCTCTTTAACAAATGCACTTCTTGTATTGTACATTATGTATAAACTTAAAATCTGCTCCACATGCATGGCTTATTTTTGTTTCAGATACGCTTGCTAATAGTAATCACTTAATAACATCTAATATATCAGTACAATATCTACCTGGCATTATCTATATAACTATGAAACCTGATGTTACTTAGATGTTTTTTCTGTGTTGGGTGTAATGGATTGAAATATTACCTCGGTTTTCCAAATGTTTCGGCCCAGTAAGTGGCTTGGTGGAGATTTGATTTGAAAACCTTAAGACCGAAGCTTTAAACAAAATTTATAGATTTTGCATTTACGCCGAAATAAGTTTTACTCAAAAACGTCGAAATAAATTATAATGATGAAATTTGGCACTATGAGAAAAAAGAAATTCGAAATTGTGGCAACCTTGAGAACCACAATTAAATTATTGAATTAAAATCCATACTGTATAGGTCAACTACCATACCTAACGAACCAACAACCAAGAATCGCCAAAACAAATTCCGAAACGTTATCAATTATTTTATTTATCTCATTCAAACGATTAACAATTTTGTGAATTTCAGATGAATTTGATTATGAAAATCAGAAACAGATTATCGTGTCATAAAACATTTTAACTATTTCTAAAGGTCAAATTTCGTACTTTGAAGATGTAAATCAAGTTAAGCCAAATATCGCTCACATAATTTGACCTCACTACCGCACACTGCAAGGCGATGTCTGTATTCAATAACCAATTAGGCACGTACGATGTCAACCTCCCTTTCATTTAATATGCAATGCAATATTTTAATATTCTAGGTTGGACGGTGATACAACGAAGACAGGACGGTTCTGTTGATTTCTTCAGAAAATGGCAGGAATATAAAGATGGTTTTGGTAATTTAGAAGGTGAATTTTGGTTGGGCAACGACAAGATTCATGCTTTGACAACACAAGGTGAGAATAATCTTCAATTTTGTCGAGGGGTTCTGTAGTACAGTTGGTTAGAGCATTGGAAACTTTGTTTACGCCATGCAAATGGTGGTCGTGGGTTCTAATCTCGGTCGGCATGTGAAAGCCACCTTTCCTCATTATTCCAGTCGCGCTCGAGCTGTAAATGGCTAATGAATTCGTGAAAGACCAACGCTAAGAGGTTTGAAGGATAGGATTCTTACTTATTATATTTATAAAGATACTGTTGTTTCTCTATTTATTTCATTATAAAAATGATGTACAGCAATCTTTTGATTTATTGATTAAAGAATTTTCCTCGGGAATAATCATAATATCTGTATTCTTCATAGTTCAAGGGCTCGTTGATAAAGTGTCAACAACTGTCACAATCTCACATTTCGCAATTAGTAGTATGCATGCATATATATGCATGTATATCAAATAGCTTCATCATTGTAGTGTGTTTTATCTATTCGATAAGTCAGTCACTTTTCTTTTTATCAAACTTTAGGTCAGGCACGATTATGTCACAAGGTGTATAGTATTTCTGATTAGATTATTAATTCAGTATAAATATGTCCTATCACAAACTCGAATACAAACTTTAAATCGCCCGTAGATTGTATTCAAATACAAAGTTTTAGCCCCTCGTAGAATACAAACTTTTCAAACTCTTGTAGTAATGTATTTAAACATTAACTTGTCAATGTCATCAATAGATTTATTCCACCACACAGTGTCCAATGTTCACTAGTAGCCTCCCCGAACACAAAATGTTCACTACTCCGTAATTGTTCATTTGATCACACAGTGCCAAATGTTCAGCATGTGTCTATTCTATCAAACAGTGTTTAATGTTCAATATGTTAATTCTATCACACAGTGCCAAATGTTCAGCATGTGTTTATTCTATCAAACAGTGTTTAATGTTCAACATTTATATTCTTGATCACAGTGCTTGAACTACCCTCTTTCTATTACCTTGAACATTATGACTTTTATATTTGATATCATATTCATACTTGTCACCACTTCCTATAAAATAAAAATATACCAATTGTTCAGTTAAAGTATTAAAAACATAAATAGCCGATAAATAAAAGCCCCAATACACATACTTAAAAATAATAAATGATTCATACGGAACAGGGCAAAACTCAATTCGTGTAGCGGCTAGCGTTGTTTTGATGACGTATTTATAAGGAGTTTACATAAAAAATTGTCAGGTATACAAACGAAATCAATGAAAAAGTGCTGTACTTACTAGGATCTACATATTGACCAGTAAAAATTCTTCTCGGACTCTCCTTAAAGGTGCTTGTCATACTTTGTGGTCTTGCTTTAGGTGTTGATCGTGCTGGTTTAGGAGGCGATAGTAAAAACTGTCTGTCCATTCGAGGACCTCCACGACGTTTAGGTTGTTGAAATTCATGTCGTCCTATCGTAGCAACTTGACTTACACTGTCGAACTGAGTGACAAATGGTTTCTCGGGATCGTTTATTTCTGGGTTGAGAATGGAATGATCATCGTCGTCTATTGTGGTAATGCTAGGAGCATCGGGGTAGATAACTGGTTTACTACGGAGGGAATTAGCCGATTCTGGCGGTTTGAATTTTCGATCTCGTGGCGCTGGTGCTGTATAAGGTATATTTGGAAGTGGTTTCTTCTTTGAAGCCGATTCTGTTGGTCTGTGGCACACTCTCGATGGTGCCGACTTTGCTGACGGTGATCTGTAATACGATCCTATTGACATCCTACCTGCGCTGTTGATATTCCTTCCGAACAAATCTCTTGGTGGGTGAAATGTTTGAACAGTCCATGGGTAAGCTAGTATCTGTTGCTGTCCGGGTTGTAGGATGTTCTCTTCCTCATAATGTGGACAACGAACGTTATCGTAGATCATGGACGGTATAAAAGTATTGCTAGTTTTGGGAAAACAACCACAATTTAATCCATGGACGTGGTTATTATGTAGATCCATGATTTCCACACGAGTATGATCCCAACCATCTTCTTTCGGTTCTCTCCATACATTTAATTCTAATTTTGGAGTCTCTATCTCCTTCCTCGATGGTGGTCCGTTTCGGCGATACTTTCTGCAATGACCACCTTCGGGAAATTGTCTGATTTCAGAACACAAAAACTATTTTATTTCTAGAAATATATATATCCTTAAAATCCCTTCAAAAACGATCTACCTCAAAGTACGCCTTACAATATAGATAAAATAATTTTCTTAGTACCCACAATTTCAAACTGATAACTGGTTAATTTAACAACAAAATCGTCTTTTTTTCGATCACTAACTAAAATATAAAACACAACCTTATTTCCACCTCGTCATAATGCAAATATATATCTTTTGTTCACTAAGTTGTCGTAGACGACGGTTTAAATACAAAACACTTCAATGAAAGGGTTTAGTTAAGACTAACTTTTATTTATACATCTATTGAATTTGAACAAAGGAGATTGTTATAGCAAAACTAAAAGTAGAGATCATATGGGAGTGTGTTTAGATCGATCATACCTCTGATATCTGGTTATTTTAGTTAGGTTATGCACGGATCCCAATAAAGACACCCAAATAGTAAAGAAAATGATAAATATTAGTTTAGGTCAAGGGTTGTAAAGGCTCCTATACTATGTGGGGTACACAGGAAGATTTAAGATAAGAAGGCATTCACAATATAGAAATTTTTCCATCCATAAAATCCATTTTTTGGTGGAAAATACATGAATTCCTCCAAAGAGAAAATGTCTGGGATCCCTGAGTATGTGATATACAATGTACGTGAAGTCGGATGGAGCATTGGTTTAGGGAACGGAATATAAGCTAATGGCACTAAATCGCGCGACTGAACCAACTATGTTGGCCGAAACGTTGATCAATTTTTCAATGTTTTCCAAACAATTTCAAGAGGGTCTATTTGTACTATTGAAACGCAGATCCATTCTCAATTAGTAATGGTGTTATTGAACTAACCCAGCAACACCAGAGCTGAAAGACTATACGAATGAATTTTCATCCTTAAGGTCGTGGCTGAGAGAAAAGCCTTCCAAACTCAGCGTCAGTCTGTTCAATTTTCTTTTGTCGCCACTGCTAAACTTTATGATTAAATATCATCAATATCTTTTCTGTGATATCACGAATAACTTCTCTTCTGTGTGTGTAATTCAAATCATAAGACTATCTCGAATCACGATTTCTTTTTCCTTTTTCAGAAGACACAATGATAAGAATGGATATGGAAGACTGGACTGGTAAACATCTCTTTGCCGAATATGATAGTTTTGGTGTTGATGGTGAAAAGAACAACTACCGCCTTCATGTCAGTGGTTACCATGGAAACGCAGGCGATTCTATGACGTCATATTGGGAAAATCATGATGGCATGTTCTTCAGTACGCATGACAAAGATAATGATGGTCGCTACTATGACAACTGTGCAAAGGCATACCATGGTGCTTGGTGGTTTAACAATTGCTTCGACTCACATCTCAACGGCAAATATTACCATAAGGGTTTCCATAGCAACTACTTCCAACGAGACGGCATCCAATGGAACAGCATCCATATGTATTCATCGCTTAAGTATGTTGAAATGATGGTAAAACCGTCCGACAGGCCCAAACCTACAGCTAAAATTAGCAACGATATTTGAGGAACTAGTCTGGATACAATATTTATAAATAACAAACAATCAGCATTTTGAAGACTGCTGTACAAAATGTGTGTTTTTATATATATTATAAAATCGTGAAAATCATTGATTTTTGTTCATAATAAGCATAAATTAATACGAACGTCGGTGTGTAACATCCACATTGCGTTAACGTTTACGTCAGAGGTGTATAATACTCAGTCATCTACATCCGGTAAATTGCGCCAAATTCATTGTACCGAAAGTAGATCAGTTTGCCCCGTAATGACGTTTTTTCAACTTGACGAATGATGTTTTGGTACACTCCGTTCACTATGATGCGATGCTCTTTAATCTATTGGTACGTATCGTTGTGAAACTGATGGTTGTGATTTGTGATGTGGTCGGGGGGTCAAGACAATGTGGATTATGTATATAATGTGATCAGACAATCATTGTGTACTAACAAAGCAACATTGATGTAGAAACAGTCTATAGCTACGCATGGGTGATCATCGTACCGCGGAAATTACTTTTAGTTCTTTTTTTTTATCGACAGTTTCTTAAAGTGGTACAAGACCTGAAGTCCATTTCTCAACCATATATACCAGGTCTGAGGAAAATACTAAATATCAGTTCAGCTGTACAGCAGAAACCCCGTCAACTGAGTGCACCCAAAGAATCTGTACTTCCTTCCTTTGAAGTTTCTCGAAAGGAAGGTTATAACGCTGTGTTTTTTGTGAATTATGTTGATAAAGATACATTTATCTATCTGATGGATCTACCACCAAACTGCTTCAATGGCGAACGTAATAATATGTATTTCGCCTTTCACAACACGATACTTACTAATCAAAATGTTCAATACATGTATAGTGTATATCATATATAATATCATTGATTTTTATCTCATTTTGTGTACATAATATGATAATTATTTGTCTTATTCTGATTTTTCTACTGCATGTTTTTTTTTCAGTATTATATTTAGAAGTAGCTAGTAGAAATTTGTCTGTCTCAAATCTGTGAATATTTCTTCCTTGTTGCACGTTATACCAATTAACTACTGGTTATTGGTGTGTTGAACAATCCGGCATATCTTTTGACAATTAAGATAAACTTGCCAATATATAACCGTAAGGTCAATATGCCTACATGCTACCTTGCTGCAAGAAAAACTAAATTTAAATCCACGAATCTCAATTCCCAAATTTCAACTCTATATCTTTGCTAAAGAATTCGAAAATTTGAAAATCGCCATTAATGGAACCATATATTCCCTAAATATTGAATTAAATTTCAAAGTTCAAGTAAACTTGAGGATTCAGAAGATATAAGCATAACCTTCATTGACCAATAAGAAGATTGGAATTAATGCAGTTTTCGGTTCAAACAGAATTGCTTCTGGATTCTCGTCTTTTTAACGTAAATATTTTATTTTAGAACTAGTGTCTTGTATATTTTCCCCTGTATTGTAGTGTGTATATTAATTTTATGATTTTTGTAAAAATTTCTGTGCCAAATTATTGCATTAAGTTTGCTTAAAATAAATCAAGACCATGGACAAAGGACAAAGGGTTCATATTCAGACGTTGCGTTTTCTGAAACGGAAGTAAATAAAACGCAGGCACGAGAAAGAAGCCAATATTCTTTCCCACAATAAATGTTCACTGAGGACGAAAGAAAGGTTTTAATGTGTAGAATTAAATATTTTTGGTTATGAACTACTTCAAAACAAATTTCGGTTTATATTCGCTCTCACGTAGTATGCTTATCGAAAGTCTTGTAACATTATTTCAGTGTTCAATATTTATTTGCCATAAATCACAATTCTGCAAAAAGGTATACAATTCTGTTTACCAGCTGATAATTCTAATTTCACTTACTCGCCACACTTTGTCGATTAATATTCTCAATACCCGCTTTCTATTTTGGAGAAGACTAGAAATTGGGATCCATTGTCGTCATGCGAAATGTCAGTTTAATTTAGAAGACAAATTTTGGTTCTGTTGTCACCTAATTTTATTTGATGCAGATCAGAATTAGACTAGAAATTCTAAAAAGTCAAATGGGCAAAAATATTTGAAATTAAGATCAATAAGCTGGTAAAGTTAATATTAAACGACAAAGTCACTTAAGACGAACATATTGCGCACTATGTGTATGAAAATATAGTAGAAAGAGCTTCAGTGATTGAAAATGACTTCAGTTTAAAATGTGTCTTAGTACAATTGATCACACTCACAATTGTGCCTTTAGATTAAAATAATGTTTATGTTGTAATGTATAGTGTAAAGAATATCAGATCTGCATTCATTTTTAGCACCTTGTATGTTTTATTTAGAGAAATAAATTTGTTGAGTTTTTATAATCACTAGGGTCTTATTCTTAATTTAATTAATGCTTAAAATGTGATTCGCCTTTTTTTCATCCGAAATTCTGTCTTATCTATATTATCTCGACGTTAATTCGTGCACTTTCATATCAAAAACATCACGAAATCATGTCACGATAGCATACAACCTTTACCGACTTCTCATAAATAAAAGTACAAAACTGCAGTTTAATGACTATGTTCGGAGGTCATTCGTACCGTGGTCTGTGAAACGTGAAGTGTTCAGCTATGCTAATAAGTAATAGTGCTTACAACCTATCGTACAAATTTTAGTCTTCATAGCCACTTTGTATTCATAACTATCTGTTTTTGAAAATTATATTGACGACTCGCCTTTTTTGCGGTGTTCGTCATAATGTAGAACCTGGAGACTATTTACATATATTCGAGGTCCAAAACAACCTCTAAAACGATTCAGGTGCATCATAAAACAAGGTTTACAAGGTACTATTTAATCATGGCAAAATCTACATTCATATCTAATGTACAATAACCAACTTGAAGTGTAGAATCTTCATCATTAGTATTTGGATACAGACATTTACCTGTTCCTGGATTCAACAGCTGGATAATGGTACCCTGTAAAGAAAGAAACTGGTGTGAACGCTTTATTATGTTGCTTGGTCGCATCCCCATAAAGCACACTAATAGTCCCACGCCCAAAACCATCAACAGTGTACAAAATCACGAGACTCATAAGCAGCCAACAAAACAACGAAAGAGTATGCCTACCACGGATCCGACTAAAAAGCGCAAACAATCGCAAACAAGCACAAACAATATATTATTAGTATGTAAATTGCAATTGAAGATCCATTGTAAACGTAAATAACTTAGACTATAACGAGAGAGACTCATCACTTCCAACAAAAATTGAATGATTTGGTCAGGTTTGGATCGCTTTTCTTTATCCGATTTCTTCCTAAAGGGTTAAACATTTTCAGTCTCCAATTTATCTCTACTAATACGCAAATTGCTATAACAAGTAATATGGAAGGTATGTGAAGTTCTAAGCCAACACTTTTCCTTCAGGGTTGCTGTAGAAAAATGTTATACCTCAGTCACAATTCAAGATTAGCAAATAATATACATACCTTTTCTCTCCAGATAAATTTCTGTTGTACAGTGTAAGTACAAGAATCCAGTTCCAAATATGACTCTGCAGTATTCATATGTAAACAATAATCATTTCCACCAGGTCGGAATTCATGTTGGTTACTTTCAAATAGTTTCTGAAGAATATAATATGAAGACCTAAAGGAGGTGCACTTTTTCTGGGATTACTGATATGGGAACTTTGAAAACAAATGTCGTAGATATGTTTCAAACCAAAGGTTCTGAGTTGAATGGGAGCAACCTGTGCAACGTTGTCTTAAAATAACACGAAATAAAAGTAACATAGACTTTCCCGAATAAAATGTTCATCTCAATAAGATTTAGGGGTGGCAAGTCAGCGCCTACTGCTGTGCAGATATTGAGATTTGAAGTGGTTAATAGAACAATCATGTCCATCTCAAGAAAAGTTATTTAAAATCATTAAAATTGTAACATAAAAGCTTCAGCACTAATGATTGACAGCATTCAGTTTGTAGGATTTTGACATAAGACGAATTATTTACTTACCAAGACATATTTAGAATTACAATAAACTAAAACTACCATATTTCTATATTCTTCATCATAATTATAGCCCAAACACAATCCTGATTTTACATGTAATACCTAAATGGAACATTTGCATTTAAATACAAGGAATATCATTTCAAAATTAAATATCGATTTTCATAATATAACATTAGAAAACATACACGAAAAATATCCCCGTCACAGACCCCTTGAGAGTTTGAGAACTGAGACGGAAACTGCTAATGTTCTTGCAATATTTTCTGGTATAAACACATAGAATGACATCGATTATATTGCCATTTGCCATTTTAGAGTGGCTAGAAAATGTTAGCTAATCCCCAAGAAGCATCTGTCTTATTGACATTGATTATGAAAAATAGTGTCTCCCACAAAATTACTGCGTTGAAATTGATTACCTTGCCTCGTCTAGAAATTTCATGTTTGAAATGTTTCAAGTAGGTGTTTCTCAACAAATTTTCTCGCTTGTCTTCTTTCTCTTCAAAATCTAGGTCTCCGGGTACATTCTAGAATTATGTTTAAAATTCAGTTCTTTAAATGACTGAACGCAGTGCAACTGGCTGCTAAGTAGTTTTCATTATCGACTCATTCTGAGGCCGAGGTTAAAATTCCTCGTAATCGAAACTATCACGATGCTTCATTGACTATCACCATTGGCGACCATATGCTACTGCCATAACCATCATTCATTTCCTATATTTCAAAAACCTTCTGAGCAATAAGTTCCTATTCGTGTTTGCACAATGTCTGTAAAATGTACAAAGCGATGTGAATCTGAAAATTGCCTTACCTGTTCTGGGAAGATCGTCTTCAAGTACCATGAAAAAGATTGACAACGTAATCGATTTCTTAATGTCACTCGTTCTGTTATATCACCATATTCCACCCCTTCTAGATTTGGTCGTGCATCATACACATATTGCTGTGGATAAAAACGAATGTTTCAATGGGATTCAAGTTGATTTATAGCGTCTGTTGAGAATATGAACACTAGTTTGATAAAGACTATAGCTATAAATAGAATATTGATATAGACTATAGATTGCATGCATGGTCAGTATTAGTATTATAAAGTTTGCAGTCATCCTTGCTAGTCATGTAACATGTGCTTGATGTCTTATATATAAATCTTATTAATGCAATAGCTGTTTTCATTCCATCCTGATGAGCGAATGCCAGTCGGCCTCTGGTGATTCGACATGGTGTCAGACGTGAACTTTCTAATTTTATAAAAGAAAGGAGAAGAAGTTGGAGCTAGAAGTTGACCATTATTAGATTGCGTCATATCATCGTTGTTGGAACATTAAATTAGTTCAAAAAGGATTTTATATTGTGGATAGAACATTCAATTGGTTCATAGTGCTTATAAAATATAAAGGATGGCAAAGCTGAAGCAACCGGAGAAATTCCATTTTGATCAACCTGGTGAATGGCCAGTATGGAAACAAACTTTTAGTCGATTTAGAATCGGAAGTAAATTACATAAAGAAGATGGAGATATTCAAGTAAGCGCTCTAATATTTTGTATGGGTGAAACTGCTGAGAAAATATTTAAAACTTTTACATTTGATGCCGAAGAAGATAAAGATAATTATGATACTGTGATTGGAAAATATGATAACTATTTCATTCCAAGTAGAAACATTATATTTGAAAGAGGAATATTTAATACTATGAATCAAAATGAAGATGAAACAGTGGAATCGTATATCAGGAGATTGTATGAAGCTAGTGAACATTGTGATTTTGAAGATTCCATTGATAGAAGAATTTTAGATAGACTTGTAGTCGGATTGAAAGATAAATCAGTGTCACTTAAATTACAAATGGAACCAAATGATTTAACATTAGCTAGAGCAATAGAAATTGCTAGAAACACTGAACTTGTGAAAACGCAGAATAAATCGCCAATAAATACAGAAGATAATGAAGATCAGGCTATAGATGCAATAAAGCGTGACAGTAGAAGACCATATAAGGCATGGAGACCAGGTTCACAGTCAAGATCAAATAAACCTAGACATGTGTTCAACAAGGGAATATCCAACTCGTATCATCAATCAGTGAGTAATAATCATGGACAATATCAACATCAAAGGACATTTAATCATAAACAATGTTCAGCATGTAACAGAAATCATGGTTCAACTGGCAACTGTCCAGCTGTTGGTGCAGTTTGTAGAAAGTGTAACAAAATAGGACACTTTGCTGTAAGATGTAGGTCAAAGTTCATCAGAGAAGTAAACTGTGCAATATCAGACCATAATATAACAGGAAGTAATTATAACAATGTTGCAAGTGACAGTAGTAATCAAAACAATAATAAAGTGACAGATGAAAATAATTTTATGGAGAGCCAAATTGTGCAAAAGTGTGATGTGAAAGAAAATATCTTTCTTGGAACTTTAAATGAGATAAATAATTGTTCAGATGGTAGTGTTCCTGCATGGCATGTAGAGTTACCAATATTGAGGAGAACTGTTAATTTTAAAATTGATTCAGGTGCTGATACCTCAGTGATGAGTGAAAAATCTTACAATCAGTTGAATCCTAAACCTAAACTTAAACAAAGTGACATAGTTCTTAGTAGTCCTGGTGGAGAAATATTTTGCTTAGGATATTTTATAGTGGAAACTAATTATAAAAATGAAAGATTTACTTTTCCAGTTTATGTTATTAAAGGACAAACTTCTTATAATTTATTAAGTCGAACTGTAGCTGTACAAATAGGATTAATTAAGAGAATTGAAACTGTTAATGATGATGTTTTTGGACCTGTTGGATTACTTAAATGTGAGCCAGTTCATATAACTTTAAAAGATGATGCTGTACCCTATGCAGTTTATACAGCAAGACGTATTGCTATACCGTTACAGGAGAAAACTAAAGCTGAAATCACGAGATTAGTAGATAGTGATATTATTGAACCTGTTACAGAACCGTCAGATTGGTGTGCTCCAATAACACCTGTTTTAAAACCGTCGGGTCAAGTAAGACTATGTGTAGATCTCAGACAATTAAATAAAACTGTCAAACGTGAAAGATATGTTTTACCTACGTTTGAAGATATTTTACATAAACTTAGTGGTGCTCGTTATATTTCAAGATTAGATGCTTCCGGTGGATTTCATCAAGTACCCTTGGATGAAGAAAGTCGCAAGTTGACAACATTCATAACACCTAGTGGACGCTATAGATTTAAAAGGCTTCCATTCGGAATTTCAAGTGCTCCGGAAATCTTTATGAGAATTATGAACAATATTTTAGTTGATCTAAATGGCGTTGCTGTTTATATAGATGATATATTTATTGTTGGTGCTACAATGGAAGAACATGATAAGAATTTAGATGCTGCTTTACAGAGAATTAAACAAAGTGGATTAAAACTCAATAAAGATAAATGTGTATTTCGCCAAACAGAGATAAACTTTCTTGGACACAAAATTACACCAGAAGGTATCATTCCACACCCAGACAAAGCATCTGCAATAAATAATCTTCAGAAACCTAATAATGTAGCTGAATTACGTAGAATAATTGGTATGATAAACTATTTAGGATGTTATATTCCAAATTTGTCAAATACTATGCAACCTTTAAATGATTTGCTGAGAAAAGATATCTGTTGGACATGGGATAAAGCTCAAGACGAAGCATTTTCAAGGATCAAGAATCTGATAACCTCTTGTCCTGTTTTAGCTGTATTTGATATCATGAAACCGACAATGGTCAGTGCTGATGCCAGTCAATATGGTATAGGTGGTGTGATTATGCAACAACATAATGATATCTGGAAACCTGTTGCATTCTGTTCTAGAACTTTAACTGATGCTGAAACTCGGTACGCCCAAATTGAGAAAGAGTGTTTGTCATTGGTGTGGGCTAGTGAAAAATTTGATAAATATTTATGGGGTCTTAATTCATATAGACTAGTAACTGATCATAAACCCCTCATTCCTTTAATAAATAGAAAAGACATTGATCAAGTCCCAGTTCGCTGTCAAAGAATGCTGATGCGTTTAATGAGATATAATCCAATTGCTGAATATTCTCCAGGAAAAACAATGATAGTAAGTGATACGCTATCAAGAAGTCCTCAGTTAGATAATAGTTCTAATGAGTTGGAAGAAGATGTTCGAGTTTATATTAGTCCATTAGTTCATGGCCAGCGTCTGATAAACAATTAAACAATATATGCCAAGCAACTTTAAATGATGAAATTTTACAAAGTGTATTACAAAACGTTCGAAATGGTTGGCCAGACTTTAAACGAGACGTTAATCCGAAAATTCTTGATTATTTTTCTGTTCGTGAAAGATTGTGTGAAATAGATGGATTATTAATTTATTGTAGTAGAATAGTCATACCCAAGTCGATGCGCCAAGAAATGATTAATAGAATTCATGATGGTCATTTAGGAATTACTAAGTGCAGAGAGAGAATCAACATGAGTATTTGGTGGCCAGGAATTTTGAAAGAAATGGAACAAAAAGTACAGTCTTGTGAATTTTGCCAGAGCAGTAGATCAACTCAACGAAAAGAACCATTGTTGCCAACAAGTATGCCTGAACGTCCTTGGCAACATTTGGGTGCAGATTTACTAACTTTTAAAAGTAAACAATATATGCTAATAGTTGACTATTTATCAAGATATATTGAAATAATTTATATGAGTTCAACAACAAGTGCAAATACAATTCATAAGTTTAAAGACTGTTTTGCTAGATTTGGAATACCAGAATTGTTGACCACTGACAACGGTCCACAGTTCAGTTCTGCTGAGTTTAATAGATTTTGTAATGATTATGGTATAAACCATGTCACAACCAGTCCTTACTTCGCCTCAGCTAATGGTGAAGCGGAAAGAGCGGTCCAGACTGCAAAGAAGATTTTAAGCCAAGATGATCCAATATTAGCTTTATTGGTTTACAGATCAACGCCCTTGCAAACTACAGGTGCAAGTCCTGCTCAATTATTAATGGGAAGACAACTCCGTACAACTTCACCAACTTTATCCAGACATTTAAAACCAAGATGGCCGAATCTTAAAAATGTGAGGGGAAGGGACAAAGATCATAAAGAAAGGACAAAGCAAAATTTTGATAACCATAATTCCTCACGTGATTTGAAAGAACTTAACCCAGGTGACATTATTATAGTGAAGTTAGATTGGGAAAAACGTGGAACTCCAGGAGTCGTAATACGCAAATGTGCTCAACCGCGTTCATATATGATTAGGACAAAATATGGGTTATTCCGAAGAAATCGTAGACATTTATTTCTTGCTAATAAAGTTCGATTTGCTGCTAATGCGTTCGATGAAGATTTTGATCCGATTGATATAGATATTCGAGTTAACAATCATCAGGATGTGAATCCACCGGATCCACCTCCTGATATTCCGCAACTTCCAGTTCGTGTAGAACAACCTGTCTTGCGTCGCTCAAGTCGTACAATTGTTAAACCTGCGCGATATCGTGATTAAATAGCAGTACATCGAAATTTATGTTGTGTATTAAAAGTTATTAAGTAAATAACAGAATAATCGTGTTAATTGAAAAGATTATTATTAGTGTATGCATTTCAGATCAAACTAGTGATACATAGTTTTAAAATAGTTATTTAAATTAAAAGGAGGGAGATGTTGAGAATATGAACACTAGTTTGATAAAGACTATAGCTATAAATAGAATATTGATATAGACTATAGATTGCATGCATGGTCAGTATTAGTATTATAAAGTTTGCAGTCATCCTTGCTAGTCATGTAACATGTGCTTGATGTCTTATATATAAATCTTATTAATGCAATAGCTGTTTTCATTCCATCCTGATGAGCGAATGCCAGTCGGCCTCTGGTGATTCGACAGCGTCTTTGTTACTAACAAAGATTGAGTAGAACGTATTTCCAATAACGAGGTCACAATTTGGTCATTTTTCGGGAATTTCAGAGAGTTCATAATTCAATACTTTTTTCAGATCTTACGAGAAATAAGAAAAGTGCAAAAATTGCAATATCCAGTGGCGGTGCCAAATAGGGGGCAGACTTACTAGATATGGGAGACAACGGTCGAGGCTGAATTCAAAATGCGGCAACTTTATGAAGGCGTCATTGTCGCAAGCCTCTCAGAACGTCTGAGAGGGCTCCCTCAAGAAAATTGTCGAAAAATTGAATTGATCTGGTGCCGTTGGTCTTGGGCGTGTAGTATCTGTCTATATTCTTACGACTTGCTAATGTCTCTTTTCAAGCTTTACAAGAAAGGAAAATACAAACAGTCACTAAAAACCGAAAAACTAATAATTTTCAACAATTTCAACATTTTGTTGTCAGTTAATTGAAAATGCACTACCAGAGTAGGTCATGTCACGTAACATTCTACGGTTATACAAAGGACATCTGTCGCTGTTAATATAGATTATGATGATTTAATAAGAGTGAATATCCGACTAAGATTATGAAAAGAAACAGGTTTACTGTATATTACGATCATTTATTGTAACCTGTCATACAAATTTCGATTAGGAACTAAAACAAGCATGCATAGCCAATAATTGTAGATTTCATTACATAAGCTTTTCTTATACGGGACACTGATTGATACGTTTTTTACCTTGTAAATAAGGCTTGAATGTCTGATTATTTCTCATGGGTTTAAATCAAGATGTTAAAATGGGAACGGGCCAGCTTTTTTAGTTGATAGATATTAAATTTTTTCTCTGAAATGAAAAATCTTCGTCTGCAGATAATGATAAAGTGTCTGGCAGTGATTGTTAAGAAACAAATATGAAGCAATAAAAGTCATACGATGTATTGCAATGCATCAAAATAAATTACTAAATATAATTTGCGTTACCTGATATTCGTCCATCCAGGTATGTGCAACTCGTAACAAATTTCGTTTAATATTGACATCATTTTTGTCGTTGTTTGGTTGAACTTGACGATAAATATGCCCTACTCTTGAACAGGGCACAATTTCAATCTTTCCACCACATTGCCATACCTCAAAAAATCATTTCAGATTATAAATTGCTATTAATATGCGAGAGACAAATCTTTTATTTATGGATTATCGTATAAATATTTGGTTTCCCACATGGTTATGCTGTGATTCGTCGGAAATGTACTGACACGGTGGAAGTGCCGGCAATCGTTTAGCTTATATTGAAGGACAGATTTTCTAAACAGTTAGCTATTAGCTAAAAAACGAATTTCGCCCTTTATCAACAAATTAATGATGATCTATGAGGTCGTAGTCTTCAAAAGATCTGCAGATTTCGTGGGTCTTTAACATGGTTATCACGCTTCCAGTAGAATCCTACCATTTGGTATTGTCATCAGTAGCTTGAACACATAATCGGCGCTAGTCAGCAATACTATTGGATATTGATCAACAAGATAGGAGCTCTTCTACAGTTTTTCAAAGAGAAATGTCTTATCGCTTAATTTCAGTAATATCATGTTATATACCTACTTTAAAAGATATTTCCATATTTTCACCTCCCCAAATCTTCAATTTAGGGTCGTACTCTCCGAGTTCTTTGAAATACTCTTTATCAATAGCAAACAATCCACCAGATATTGTGGGAGATCTGAATAGAAATAAATATGAATAGTTCATAGAAAAATTAAGAGATGATGTGGACGTTACAACGGAGGACTCATTTTTTAATTCATCATTCAACTTTTCTTAGTGTGGGTAATAGGGAAAACTACCGAATTACCTGAAGAGTTGAAGACATTTTTATTCACATTCTCTTGAACACTATGGTCAAGCATTATGCCCACTCTGGATGACTAAATGTTGTTTTGCATATCAGAACAGCCATCACCGACAAGGGGAATCTCGGTCATATCCAATGCCGGGATTGAAGACATTCTCGATATGGTGGTTAAAAGGAGTCGAATAGCCTCAGCAACTTCACTCCAATGTAACACAGGAAATAGTTAGAAATGCTTTAGTTACATATGAACCTATATCGAAGCTGCAAGACGGTTACTTCGAAATGGAGGTCTTAAGTTAAAAATGCCTTCATCGTATCTGTCGTATTTGACTTAAACGCAACGGTCTGTTGTTCACAAGGACAGAGCCCCCACCCCAACCCGTAACTTACTTAATTGGCTGAGATAGATCTGAAAGCATCTTTCTGATCTTGACTGGAATCGGATCCCATCTGAAGAATAAATTCCATTTGAAACCCCCCACAAGTACTGGAACTGAATCATAGACCATTGTATAGGCATCAACACTATCTACTATTGGTGCTACCACCGTCTTTCTGTTCAGAACTATTCTGTCTAATAATGGTTCAATCCATCCAGTATTCACTTCACAATGACTGTCTAAAAACACCAATACCTGGAATAGAAACCTGGTGATCGTGAGAAACGTGTACAAATTTAAAATCTTCTGAGTGAATCTGCCATGAAAGAACCTTATTATGTTTCGTGTGCCATTTACATCAATTAGCTCACCATGCTTCAATAACACTTTGGAATAAAACATTTAACATACTATTACTTTAAGGGTGTACCGTATGAATAAGGATTCGGATATGTCAGAGTTTCAACGAAGAAACTTGTGGAATTACACATTTATCATCTCGGGTGTGGACTTCAAATATTAAATTCGACGAAGTATAATATACGCAGGATGCAATTGAGATTGAGAAATTTGATTAGCAATTTTTCGGATCAAATTTTTGTTTTGGCTCCTCAAGTAAAGTTTTGATTCTTTTTAAAAATGTAGTATCTTGCCAATAAAGTTAGTTCCGTAAGGAGTTGTCGCATATTTCTAGATTGGGCAAAAAATAATCTGAAAAATTTTGACTAATCATAGGAAATATTGGATAACACTGCTACGCCATACCGCTTAATTGAACCCGGCTCCCTGTGTGCTATTATGAAGTTATTTTGAACTAACCTCGGCAGTAGCATGTCTGGAGCCAATTATCCGAGACATGATCAATCCTTTTCTCACTGGATTTCTCAATAAGATGACTTTCTTATAATATTTTATTTTAAGATGCGTTCCAAGGTGTCCTTTTAAATCTTCTGTGATAGAATGAAAAATTAAATGATAATTAAGAACAATACTACGGTGCCTAAAATATTTTGATCATCGGAGATCTTAATTCTTAAATCTGAATGGTTATTTTCTAGATACCGAACTACTAGATTCAACCAATTGACTGTATTATTGAAACCATCCCGACTGAACCGGGTTATTGATATCTATAAAGCGAATGTTATCAGGTGTACAAAAAGTCATCTGAATTTGGAATTGAAGATGTGGGTAAACGCTAGAGGAGGTGCAAGTTTCTGACTTACCAAATGAACTGAAATCGTCAATAATAATGATTTCCTTAAGAAGTTCTGATGGAGTTCTATTGATAACAGAATGGATGGTTCGTATCAATGCCGAGAAAGCTTCATTTAGAAAACAAATAACAACAGTAACAGTTGGTAACTTGAATACTGGATAGTCTCTGTTTTTACATCTAAAATTGATATCGACATAATTATTACATTCGTTTATTAAAATTAACATAAACAGCCTGTAGCACACGAGGGTTTTTTTACAATCCGAAAGACGAAAGTCCCATATCATCGTCTCCGATCTGAATTACAAAGATAAATGATTGAGAAACCATCTCATCCCGACCCTTAAAACCTGAAGAAAAGTAGGGTTTTTGATGGGTGTTTCATACAAAAAGAAATATATTTACAAAATGAAGTTGATGCTAGGGTCTAAGGAATAGCACATAAAATAAGAATTCGCGACGAACATCATATAGCTGGTCTATTTTATGATGCATAGAGGGATTTACAGAAGCCACTCTGCAATTGGGATGATCAGCTAATTATGTCGCAGTGTGGATACAGCAAAATATCAAATGTAACATTTATTTTAACAGTTCTTTTAACCTTTACCACATCCAAGTTGTAATACCTTAATGCATACTTACAGTTTATGCCGGACGTCAGGAATCGTTCGGTTTGGATCTAACTTATCACTTACAAATTGGTTGAAATAATGTCTACTAAAGCCTTCCGTATAAATTTGATCTTCGGTACTATTTGCGATCACAGACAAATCATACATATCATATAAATCATTTACGTCATATCCGGCTTGATTACAAACAGTTCTAACTAGAGGTACTAATGTAGATGATTTTAAATTTGTGAATTTCATTCTTTTGTTTACGTTTCTGATGACAAACCAAACCAACAAGGACACTAATGTTCCAATAAGTATATGATAAACTGATACGTTCCACAAGGCAGTTTGCGTCTTACATTTTTTTAATTTTACATGCTCTTGTGATTTGCGGTTTCGTAGGCGTTCTGCGTTTCTCATGTTGTTACTAAAAGAGTCACTTCTCAATACCACAAAAATTATGTTTCACTTTAGGGACTTAAAAGTTTTCACAAATTTTGACATAGTCCCTTAATCACGTTACTGGAAGAATACGTTTGTGGTGCGAGATCAAAAATTATATTCTCTTCCTCATAGGCTTCTATCAAAATTGTAATTAATATTTTAACACCAAATCCAATTTCACAGCGATTCAGGCGAAGTATATAAGTACCTTGGTACGAATGAATATAATTTATATATTATGTGTACACCTGTTGACGAAATGTTTCAACAATCGTTTAAATAATGTTAATCATGAATTCTATTGGTAGCGTTTTCTTAATCTATAAACAGTTACAATATAAACCAATATATCAATACAAACTTATTATATCTCAATTTGAACGTGGTGATGTGGTTACATGCATCGAGCAAAACCTTCAACTTGTTGGACTTCAGCATTTGAATACAATAGATCAATTTAATCTTATTAAATGACAATTTGAAAATGCTGTATGCTGAAACCTCTACTGGTGTTCATAGGTAACTTGAGAATAATTTGGGTCATTTAAATACGAATTAAAGAGACAATGCCACGTTAATGTGAACATTTTGATTAGTTACAGGCAAGATAAGCGGTATCGCATTGCTATTTGCTAGTTAAAATGACACCTTTTTATGATTCAATATTTCATGTTAAGCCCAAATCAAAATGTATTTCGACAATCTGCGAAAAAAAATATACAGCAAATCTCGGTGATCTCAATAACTTTAGGTAACTAACGTAATTGGCAAGATCGATCTGAAGTCTAAAAATTGAACATTGCTGCCGAATGTTTATGAATTGCGGATCAAAATTAACTTGATATGCCAAAGCTGAAATTTGGAGAATGCTGATCAGGACGTCCCTATTCAGCATCAACTATTGTCTGTTCTCAAAAATTCGCCGTGAAAGACAACCTATAGTTTTTAAAGAAACCGAAGAATTTGAATCCTGTGATCAATTTCCTCTGATTATATCACAATTTGAACATATTGTATGCTAAAACCTCTACTGTTTAAGGAAGAAAAAAAATAGGTCCATGTTGTCCCGGACCTGCATGGCGAATAGAGAACCAAAGCCATGTTTACATTCGTGAGAACGTTACGCCAACACAGTGTCTGGAAATACTGATTGTCAATATTATGTAAAAACATGCAAGATTTTAATTATATAAGTTGCTATCGTTTGTCTTTTTACCTGCACCTGTGCATAGTGGATTTGGTTGAACAACGTACAAGTTCGATATTACACTAATTTTTCACCAGTTTCTGTAAATAGCTCCGCAACACCAAACTAACGACGACCGGAAAGTCGTGAGGAAAACTAGAGTGGCTCAGTGAGTAAGACGCATGTTCAATGCCGGCATAGATCGAGATGATACCTTCGGATTTTTCAACCCGCTTCCCCCTATCAGTGATGCAGCTAAGAGGGGCTGACATGGAAAAGGCGTCTAGACGTTCTGATGGGACAATCAGGTGAGGCCCCGTGTACAGATTTCCCTTTATAATCTGCATGGTATTGCCCGTCTTTATTAGCCCACAAGGTACATGTTTGTACCATATTTGAACATATCCAAAATAAACGCCCTGACTTGGCGAATAATGGCGACACTTGCACGATGTCTGATGTGTTATCTCATCTCTGGGTCATTTTTCCGTCGCAGTAAGAATGCCCCTACCCGGTGTGACGGAACCTTAACTCTACCAATACAGTCATTATCTTCAAATGACATGTCAATGAATATTTCAGCTCAGGGAATTCCGACTGAAAAGAGCAATTCATTATGGCCTATGTCTTCAAAGCTTCGCAGGTATCATCGGTTGAAAATATGAGGTGATTTCAGGTTCTCCAAGTCGCAAGCATAACTAAAATTATGTGTCCCAGCGACTGTTATAAATCAACTGCCAACCCCGTCACACTTGCCTCTGACTGTTGGTACTGGGTCGGCGACGAACGTTAATAAAAAATGTGAAAAAGTTCCTTAAAATTACAAAATCTAGAAGAGTCGATCTCAAACTTCTGCATGTGTGACAATATTGCGTACCCGAGGCATGTTCCTAAAAAAAATCTGAGGTAGATGCACTTCACTTTCATTGCTATCACGGAAATCTTACGACGCTTTTTGCGTTCTCAACTGCGAGTAATAGCAACGATAGGGCTCACCGTATGATATCCGACGCTTCCTAGATGTTAATACCACGCTTTTGACGACCTGAACACACTCTGGCTTCATTTTCCGTCGCCGTAGCAGATCAGTAAAAGACAATCAAAGATCCGACGTGTCAAATTTGTAATGTTTTGCGCGATATCTACCAAGAAAATTGTGTGTCGCATTAGATGACTTGTAACGTTGACAGTCTTACTGTTAAACCCCGGTTCCCAACTGGTGTAGAAGAAGAATTTATTGTGAATTGAGTGAGTACTTTACATCATCACATGCTAGAAATGTGAATGAAACAAATTTGTGGGGGGTGAAAGTTTCAGGTGATTGCGAGGGGTGAATATAACGAATGAACCAAATTTTCTGCTACTTATTGGACAAATGACAAGGTGTAATAGATTTCGTCAGCATCATAGGCTTTGACATAAAAAAAAATACAGTAAACATTATGGTTTATTTGTTTACAGGCTTTTTGTTAAAGACTCTGATTGTGTGTATTCCCTTGTGTACAATTCAACGTCTGTGACACAAAAAATGTGGCTATTGCAGTCAGTGTATAAGTTTGTAACAGCTTGACATAGTTCGTAATAGCTTGACATTTTGAAGTTGAATATGCATATACATTCTTTGTGAATAAAATTATTATTCATCAAGATAGAAAGGCCTTGAAAATATTTTACCTTTTTTATATAAATGGTGTCGTTATAGTAATATTTCCACATTATCAAACCATTATATTTACAATGGGAGATCTCTTAGACTAAACAATTATAGGGGGACATACTTCAAACTACAAAGTAAGTTAAATATGTATTCTGTTTAGATCATTAACCGATATGATAAATGAATGTGTGTCGTCTTTGATTTCAGATTTACTCAATTATATAAGATACTTAGTTTTCTAAATGTTGGCAATTTGATCGACTTTTGCGCATTTAGAAATTTAGTACAGTCGAGTAACCTAATTTCGTGGAAACCTATTATTCGTGAATTTCCGGAAAGGATTAATAATTTACATGAGCGACCTTGCGCGACCTCCGCGTTAGTTTGTTTTAGTAAAGGTAAAATGTATTAATGTATACTTCGACAAATAAAAAATGGCGGATTTCACATATTACCAAACGTCACCATTTTTTATCGGCCGAATTTCCTTATAATCCCTAGCGGTAATCAGAATTCCAAGTGTCGTCTGCTAGAACCACGAATGAAGTCACGTGATCAACTAGCGGATTCCGTGTCAGCAGAAATTTTTCTATGGAACACAAAGTGGACCATATTCTTATGTTGTTTCAGTGACTTTTAGCAATAAATCACGCTACGTATCTTATTTTGTCAGTCACTATTTTTTTTTAAATCATGGTGTTTTGATGGAATTGTCACTAGTTATAATGAATTGATATTAAAGATAAATACTAAGAGAAGTTAATTATACCACCTGGTATCCATACAACGTGTTTTTCTAGACTTATTTATAGATCAAACATTGTACACGAAAATAGGTGAGGTATTCTGCCGCCGTTGCCGAGTTGGTTGCTCATGAAATGTGGGTCAAAGTGAAGGATTCATAAAGAAAATAGAAAAAAAACAATTTTAATTATTTGGTAGAATATCTGAGGAAACCTCTAAGACATAATTTTTTTTCGCTTTTTTTCAACTTTGACGAAATTCGGTGTTGAATCGTTATATCCACGAAAATAGGTTACACCACTGTATAAGCCTTCTCCCTTTAATCAAAATTTTTCTCAAGAGAGGTCACTTTTACAACGCTTAATGTAGATTCTATTCCAACGGATTTATCATAAATTTGTCTTTCGTTCTTCATAATCACCTTAACTTCAAACAGGAGATGGTTTAAGATGTTATTCATAGATGTTCTAAAGTAGGAAACCATCTGTGTTCGCGGTATCAGTATATCTAACGAATATAGGGATTGGTAGAGAATTCATTCATTGGCTTTGGAAGGGGTCAAGTAAGAAGGTCTAGATTCAGTATAGACTCAAGTAGAATTGTTATACATTTTTACCTGTCAAATCATTGTGTCCTGGGAAAAAGTATAACAAATAGTCCAAACCCAGTCCGTCGATAGGCATACGTAGGATAGATAGATAGATAACAACATGTCTTCACCGATCTATCAACTTGTCTACACCAGCATATTGTAGGCTATTTGTCTACATATATATATATATATATATATATATATATATATATCATTTTGTACCTTTAAACAATTATTGTTAACACTTTCCAACAAAGATTAACATACAAATATATTTTTCAGAAATATAAACCAACATGGAATTAGATAACTTGTCAATCCCAAGAAAAGTACAACATTGGGCTAATAAACACCCAGATGATGAAGCATTGGTGTTCGTATCTAAAGATGGTCCAAGAACAGCTTTAACTTGTGCAGATGTTTTCAACAAGTCTAAAGTCTTTGGTTTACATTTGCTACAACTGGGTGTTTCACCTGGAAGTGTGGTGGTAAACCTCCTGGATGATTCACCGGAAGCCTTCTTGGTGTTCTTTGGAACCCAATTTGCTGGTTGTAAGTCAATGAAGCTCATTATTGGGCCAGGAGACGATGAGTTTCTGATTCATTTACTAAATACTACCAACTGCCAAACAATTGTAATTTCTTCTGATCCAGAAAATGCAACCACGAAGATTTTATCTAAATTAATCCACAGAATGTCAGGGAACAAAGTTAATTCAACCGCCATACCTAGCTTGAAATTCGTCGTGGATAGTAAAGATATAGACGTAAACCAGGTTGGTTTTATATGCCAAGAAGAAGTCAGCGATTCAAGATCTGTAAACATTGAGGATACAATGGATAATGGTGGTGTTTTAATGGTCAGTTCTGGAACTACGGGTCCAAGCAAAATAATCGAACTTTCTCGACAAGGTTTACAGGAGAGTATGCATAAAATATTTAAATGCGTAATGGATCAGTATCCGAATTCAAATATGTTTAACATGCGAAAATTGTTTTGGTTTCTGGGCATACCTCAGTGGTATTTATGTACTGGGAATAGAAGCGTACACATAGATAACAGGTTCCCAATTCAAGAAGATGATTTGCCTAAATTTGTCTTTGACACCATCATCAATGAGTCTTGTGAATGTGCCAAACTGGATCCGATGACATGTTCCAAATTCAATTATTTTCTTCAAAGTGACCATAAATTAAGAAACAAATGGCCATTGAAAGTTGTTTGGACTGGCGGTAAACCTCTAACACAGTCCATAAAGGAAGTAATTGGTACAGTCTGTCATACTTTTCACAATATGTATGGATCATCGGAAATGAACCTGCTAACTATGAAAAAGATCGAGAAGGACACGGAATTTGAAGACTTCAACTCTGGCTCCTTTTTTTATGATATAAAGATGAAAATAATTGACGAAAATTTAAAAGAAGTTACGAACGGAGCATCCGGTCATCTGACTTTTCAGAGAAGTCCATATTTTTTTGTTGGTTACGTTGGTAATGAAGAATTGACGAAACAATCTTTTAGCGAAGATGGTTACTTTTTTTCCAAAGATTATGGACGTGTGAAGCCCAATGGAGAGTTAATCATACAGGGTCGTACAGAAGACATTGTGTCAAGGGATGGAAATATTTACCATGCAAGTCAGATAGAAAGTTTAGTTCGAAAAGCTCCCGGTGTTTACCAAGTTACTGTTATAAATGTTACTGTCAACCAGAAAGAAGATTTATGTGCCTGTATAGTTCCACGAGTTGGGGTGTCAGTTTCGGAGCAAGATGTAAGAGATTTTTGTGAAAATGAGTTTGGAAAAGATCCGCAATTGAAAGAAGGTTGTCCTGGATATTATTTGACTTTGAAGAAGTTTCCTACCAATATAAATGGAAAAGTTGTTAGAAGAACTCTGCGATCGAATGCTGAAAGATCAATAAATTTGCATTTGTATTAATATTCAGTTCTTTGAAACCTAAGCGATATTTAGTTTATTTTACTAGTTATCCATTGCATTTGTATATTTCCCTTCTTTAGTGAGAAAAGTAATTGCATTTGAACTTGTATCAAATTGTACTTAGTGTCGGCCCCAAATATCAAACAACTACGAACTTCATCCTGTAACATGACTGTAATAGCCACCTTGGATTTGATTGGATTGTACGCTAGCGGAAACAGCCAATCAAAGCCTTTGACATAAAGACTGTGAATATTAGATTATTTTCTTCCTGTCTCTTTCTGCTTGATCACCCATGATCTTTTTCTCCTTAACATCCTCTCTTCCTACAATCAGGGTCTTTGAAATAAAGAATGTAAATATTAGGGCTTATTGTGAACAGTAGGCTTTCCGTTCAGGCCTCCAATTCCCTGATGTACAAATCTCTTCATGACTATAACTTCTGTGACAGGTAGGTCATAGGTGGTTAATGCAGTCAAGGTTCGTAACAACTTGACATTTATTCGTAATAGCTTCACATTAAGAAGATGATTATGCATATACATTCTTTGTGAATATAATTATTATTCAAGAAAATAAAAGCCTTGAAAATCTTTTCGTTATTTTAAACGTTATCTTTTCAACTGGGTCGTAAGAGGTAACATCACTACATTATTCAACAGATCAAACCTCTTTTACAGTTCAGGAGAACTAATACTCTTACAAGTTATAGGGTGAAAGTAAGTTAAATATTATGTATTCTGTTCTCAACGTGAATGAAGTTCTATCAGAAAGTAATAAAGCAAGAAATCAAATTTGCACTTTACATTAATATAGATGCTGTACTTCGGTCACAGATTATCTTTCAAATTATATGACTAAAGAGATTTACATTATCTCAATTGATTCGTTCAGCTGAAGCATATCTTGTGAGGATTTTTGTGTTAAAAGCTCAAAAAACAAGGTAAGATTCTGTCAAAAATAAAAGTTTCTATTAACGTTATAAACTCCATTGTCGGCATCACGAGATTATTGAACAATATGATAGAACACAATAACATTATTTGTTACGACTCTTCAAGTCAATGTCAACTTTAAAATATACACATAGAAAATACCTAAATTAATGAAAATAGAAGAAAAGAACGTGTGTAATTATTACTTTTGTCGCATCACAACGTTAATTGTTATTTTATTCCATCAAAGGTCAAACATTATTTTGTGTTTAGTTCTTCACCTGGAAACGTTGCGCGGGTTGCGATTGCGAGCACCACAACCATGACTACCCTCCAAATTTTTTTATTACCTTTACCCCTATCTTCCCCTGTAACATTCAACATTGAATTTGATTTTGGAAAATGGCAGTACTTAGTGTCATGGTTTAATTATATATCTATAATAATAGGAGCATATCAGAGGCAGGTTAGAAATTCCCTTCTGTCTACATATATACCTGTAAACATTTTGTGACCATGCTTAAATCTATTTTTCAGAAATATAAACCAACATGGAATTAGATAAATTGTCAATCCCGAGAAAAGTACAACATTGGGCTAATAAACACCCAGATGATGAAGCATTGGTGTTCGTATCTAAAGATGGTCCAAGAACAGCTTTAACTTGTGCAGATGTTTTCAACAAGTCTAAAGTCTTTGGTTTACACTTGCTACAACTGGGTGTTTCACCTGGAAGTGTGGTGGTAAACCTCCTGGATGATTCACCGGAAGCCTTCTTGGTGTTCTTTGGAACCCAATTTGCTGGTTGTAAGTCAATGAAGCTCATTATTGGGCCAGGGGACGATGAGTTTCTAATTCATTTACTAAATTCTACCAACTGCCAAACAATTGTAATTTCTTCTGATCCAGAAAATGCAGCCACGAAGATTTTATCTAAATTAATCCACAGAATGCCAGGGAACAAAGTTACCTCAAATGCCATACCTAGCTTGAAATTCGTCGTGGATAGTAAAGATATAGACGTAAACCAGGTTGGCTTTATTTGGGACGAGGAAAGCATCAATTCAGGATCTGTGGACATTGAGGATACAATTGATAATGGTGGTGTTTTAATGGCCAGTTCTGGGACTGCGGGTGCAATCAAAATAATCGAACTTTCTCGACAAGGTTTACAGACGGGTATGTATATAATGTTTCCATGCGTAATGGATGAGTATCCGAATTCAACAATGTTTAACATGCGAAAACTGTTTTGGTTTCTGGGCATACCTCAATGGTATTTATGTACTGGAAATAGAAGTGTACACATAGATAACAGGTTCCCAATTCCAGAAGATGATTTGCCTAAATTTGTCTTTGACACCATCATCAATGAGTCTTGTGAATGTGCTAAACTGGATCCGATGACATGTTCCAAATTCAATTATTTTCTTCAAAGTGACCATAAATTAAGAAACAAATGGCCATTGAAAGTTGTTTGGACTGGCGGTAAACCTCTAACACAGTCCATAAAGGAAGTAATTGGTACAGTCTGTCATACTTTTCACAATATGTATGGATCATCGGAAATGAACCTGCTAACTATGAAAAAGATCGAGAAGGACACGGAATTTGAAGACTTCAACTCTGGCTCCTTTTTTTATGATGTAAAGATGAAAATAATTGACGAAAATTTAAAAGAAGTTACGAACGGAGCATCCGGTCATCTGACTTTTCAGAGAAGTCCATATTTTTTTGTTGGTTACGTTGGTAATGAAGAATTGACGAAACAATCTTTTAGCGAAGATGGTTACTTTTTTTCCAAAGATTATGGACGTGTGAAGCCTAATGGAGAGTTAATCATACAGGGTCGTACAGAAGACATTGTGTCAAGGGATGGAAATATTTACCATGCAAGTCAGATAGAAAGTTTAGTTCGAAAAGCTCCCGGTGTTTACCAAGTTACTGTTATAAATGTTACTGTCAACCAGAAAGAAGATTTATGTGCCTGTATAGTTCCACGAGTTGGGGTGTCAGTTTCGGAGCAAGATGTAAGA